CGCTCCGTCGAGACTAGTTAAATCCCAAGTGTCGATTACTTTCTGCTCTCCCGCAGTAGTCGGCACGACACTTGCTTACTTACTATTACCATGTGTTCTGCAGTATGCATTGTTTGCTTCCTCATAGGTCTCATAGTCTTTACCATGTTTATACATAAACTTGCCTTTAGTCATAACTCTTGCATTCATGTCTGTTGGGTCCATGTTTCATATGATTTAGTGAAACTGATAAAAGAAGAGTTGTGATCTGCACTTGCCCTTTTTAACTACCCAAGATTTTGTTGCGATCACAAGATCAAATGCAGTTGTCAACACCATTTTCAGCCAGTTAGAAGCAAATTTTGCATCACACAAAGGTTTATTTATTTGATAAAAATATATATTTCCTGTTCTAATAAAGAAATTACTTAGGGTTTTGATAAAATTATAATAAAAATTATACATATCGTATAAAATACTCTATTTCCCTTCGAAGGCCTACACCTTAGCATTTTGCATAGGTTTTATGGTTTTCAATAAGTCCATGCTTATCACTGAGCCAATGTTACGAATTAAATGAGAGAACAATGGCCAGCGACTCATCAAAAACTACATGTCCAGTGTGATACATTGGTAATGTGGTGGGAATTTACGTTGATACCACGACTAGCAAGAAGCTTCCAATCTTTATATCTTTCCGCCACGATGCAATTTCTCGGCCCGACACATATCGACTGTATCGTTGATGGTGATGTGGAAGGAGCCGATTTATGATTACAAAAATAACAAGCGGTCGAAAAAATTTCCCTTTTTATAACCTTCCAGTGCGCCTCTACCAACATAGTGGTTCTAAATAAACATATCTTCTCCGGATTCGCCGTTCTTGCCCATAGAACCCAACTTGTACCAGTTTATCCACATATGACCATACATTTCTTAGGTCGTGTTGGACACAGTAATTGTACATTTCTTGAACAGATAGATGAAGCAATCATTTCATCGACAATCATTTCACCTCCAATCATTTCACCTCCAAATATTTACCAACATTATTTCGAATTTATCCTTTTTTAGTAATTAGTTGTCGGTAAAATGTACTGTCGGTGAAATGATTGTCGATGAACTTGATTGCGTCAGGTGACACGACGCAAGAATTGTCTGACATTTTCTAGTACCGATTATGGATTTATTTCGCGTGTTGAAGACTGGAACCAAGTTCAATAAAAAACGGTTTAATGCAGATATCTCTTTATT